CTATTTCGATTTTCAGAAAGAGTAGAGAATAATTCTTAACTACAAGATTGTTTTTTGTCCTCCACATTTATGCGCCATCTACAGGAAAGCAATTGTCAATATTATACTTTTGTTTTTAATAAGACTCTTCTCGAGAAAATTATATCGCTTAGAATTTTTCGAATGTGATTTTAATACATGGTGTAAGGAAATCATAATACCTGTCCTTTCTGAAGACTCCACGGTCCTCCTGCTTGAAAATCAGTAACAGGATATTCAACCAAAAATTGACGAGGACGAAATTCGACATGAGCACCAAGTGCATCACCTATGGCCAATCCTATCATAGATCCTTCGATTCGATCTAATACTTTTTCATCGTTGAAATCTGGTGGTTCTTCCATGTCATTTTCCAATTCATGTGGCTTTTTGATCGATTTTCGATTAACATCATGAAATTGAAGATCGAGCCAGGGCTTATCTAAACATATATAATCAACATTTATGAAATGTACTGTCTTTTAATTTCAAAAGCATCCTCTTATTCTCAATTGTTTCTATCTATGAATCTAATAGAATTATCATATAAACTGACAAAATAATCTTTTGGAAAAATATAATGCTTAAATCTATCACCTGATTTGTATTGAATTGATAGGAGTTGGTGTTCGTGCGTCGAATCTAAAATGGTTCAATGAAGAATATTGATGATTATAAAAGAAAAATAAATTCTATTGAAATTTTCAATTGTGGACATCCTACATAGACTGTAATTACTAGTAAAAATCGAATATCTCCCTCTAGGCAAGCCAACAGTCACTAATATTTTAATCTTGTTAGTTTGACGGTAAGAGCTTTCATTTGACACTAAAATATCAAGTCTAGCTCGGTTACAATACAAACACTTCCATTGTAAGGTCTGAATAATCTCATTAGACGATCAATCGAATATATTTTTTTTTGTTTTTGATAAATAACGAAGGGCCATGTGCGATGTAGAGATGCAGGCTTATTTTACTTTTCCCTTTCGTTGATAGAACGATTGAATCGAAATAAGTAACGCTTCAATATTTGTTTACCATTAATACTCGTGATCATTATAACGCTGATAAATGAAGCGTTACACAACAAACAACCGAAAAATATTAAAAATATTTATTCTACTTGTTTATATATGTTATTAAGAAAAAGTAAATAATAAATGAGAAACTTACCTTTTGAAGTTAATTCCTCCCGCCGATGCGTATTGGCTTTAAGATTCTCAAAAAATCTACGCATTTTAGTGAATGATGTCCCTTGTTGTTGTTGTATATGTAACAGTTGTGATGATATGAATGAAATCTTGTTCTTTTCGTTTCTACCTGTAACTACCTAAAGCAATCGTTGTAAGTGTGTCTTTTTTTGTTCGATTCTTCGCTTGTCACATAGTCAGAGCAAAAAAAAAACGATAATTGATCATCATAATAAAGGCATAGAAAAACAACTGTTTTGCATCCTCAAAAACTCATTTAAAAAGAACAAAAAACTTTAATCTGTATCATGAGATATTATCACAAATAATTGGCCGTAGAGTCAGGTAGAAAAGCCAAATAGATGACGCTATAGAGAGCTTATTTTCACTCTTATCCAGCTCAAACTGTCGAACTATATAAAAGATGCTAAAATAATTTTAATGACATTTTGCTGCATATATCAATGTGTCATTAAATACAAAATGAAGTCAATTAGAGTAGTCCATAAAATGTGTAAAAAATATTGAGTTTTGTATTCAAATTTTTCTGGTAAATTATTTTCATTTGCAGCTTACGAGATCTAGGTTGTATGAAGGTGTTATTAAAATATATGTCCAATTAAAATTGAGATATCGTAATGCTTCTTTTTTCGCATCAAAAATATAAGTTAAAATATATTTCGAATATCTCGATAAATATTCAGACGAATTTTTTATACATCAAAATCGACTATCTTTTCTTTTGACGAGCACTATATGATTCATTGTATTTATATACATTTATTCATATATATGATTTAGAAAAAGAATACGTGCCAATTGAGAAATATAATAAAACTCAGTTGATATGAGCAAAGGAATAAAAATTGTCAATTTCTAAATAATTGTTTTTTTTTAGATTACTGTAAACTTCAAAAGGAAGCATAAGATAAAATACATCTTTTTTTAAACATCATAAAGCACTTACACAAACAATAAGTACCTAATTTCATTCAGAATTAATACATGTTTTTATCTTTTAATTAAACAACTTTCGTTCAAAAACTCATAAGTTATTATTTACAAAAGATAAGAAAACTTAAGAAAAAAATACAAAAATTTAGAAGTCAAATTAATTTAAGTAATACCGATCGATGAAATAATCTTGCTTGTCAATATGTCATTTATACTTCTACTAAGTTACATGTCTAATTGCAATCGGAATATTTTATCTTTTTATTTGAAATAAAAAATACACAGTATATCCTTTGAAAGAGGTAATATTTATGATGTGTTATGTTTTTATTAAGCAACTAAATATTTTTAATTCCTTTCAAAATGTCAAGTCTTTTTCCTTCTTTCTTTATTAATTTATCTTGATATTTTCATCAAAAAAATCCTTATCAATAATCAAAATCCATCATTAAATAAATTAATAATCTCGTTCAAAAGATAAATAAAATATTTATAACTACTCATTCAATAGCCATAGTCCAATAATAATTATAATTTAATTAATAAACATTTTCATTTCTTTTTTACTTCATTCATTTTCAAAGAAACAAACAATTTTATCTTTATACATTTTTATTTACATTTTCAAGTAAAATAGTTAAATTTTATTTTGAATTACAAAATGAACTTCCTCAAATACTATGTAATTAGAAATGTTAAACTATAAAACGAATCCATGATAGTAAAGCAAACCAACATTTAGTATCAGATCGATATTATATCAAAAATAGAGCAAAACAAAATGTGAATTAAATGATGTGCGAAGAAATACAATGTTATTCTTTTTTCAGAACAGATCTTAACAACAATATAATGATGTGCGTGTAGATGTCGGTCTTCTTGAAACTCACACCCTTTTTTTCTATTGAATAAATCATTGAAATTTTAAAAAAATAATCGATCCAATGATGATCAAATTGCAGAATTGCCTTAGCTTTTTTAAATAAAACCATTTTGTAAAGAATTTGAATAATATTTAAAAAATTCGTTTCCCCATAGATATTGAAGTCTATTAAAAATAATATTAAAATGAAGAGAACGATCATTTCCAGAAAAGTTATCTTACATAATGTAGAAATCATTATAATTACCATTAGAAGTCCAAAAAATGGAATTGATCGTTTTGCAAATATTTGTAACATCTGAAAAGCAATACAATAAAGACAGATGTTAGTAAAAGAAATATAAATTATTTGATAATCTCAAAATTTCAATTTATTTTACATCGCCAAAATCCTAAAAACTCAAGCGTTTGTATTCTATTTCAAGAGAAAATTAGTTTTTGAACACAATCGGATATTTTTGTCAATGAAATGAATTTCATGTTTATTGATATTAAACTGTATCATGTCTTACTTATACAGATATTAATTCTAAAACAATGGAATGTAAGAGAATCGTAATAATACCATTCAACATTGATGCATATTACATCTTTGTATCATTGTTTGCTTTTCTTACATTGATTTCCATTTGAACGGATGTGGCTGAAATATTGACAGATTCCATCGAAAATATGGTAAACATAGTTGATAAAAATCGATGAAAAATAAATAAAAATATCATATATAATCAACGTCTGACATTCAGACTAGTGTATTCACAGCATCACTACTAAACTCATTTTCGAACAGATAATTCAGATATGGGATTTCTATAAATATACAACTAAGTAGTTATTCACAGAATCTTTACTATTATCACACTAATGAAGAGCAGATGAAGCTACATATGTCAAAGACATGGATCGCGCCTAGAAAAGCGAAGCGAGGCGGCGCGGATGCGGTTATCAACTAATGATAACTGGTGAATTCTTTTGTCAGATTTTTCCTCATGCTTGAGCCGCATTAGTTTTTGAAAAAATAGTGTTTCATTTTTGAATACTGATGTATAAACATCAATATAAAATTAATAATACTACAAAAGACTATTTAATTTTATCAAGATATAATCAGACATATATGATATACTTCTAGTGATCATTTCATCTTAATCTATTCTGTAATTAAAATTATACAAACTCAGGTTTAAAGTGAATATAAATATTATGCTCGTCAGAGTGAAATTTACTAAGTTTTGAGCTAGATCAATTTTCTATCAGGAGAATTTTTAATCAAAATCTTTTACGTTTGAATTTAGAAATTTAATAAATGAATATTGAAACAAGATAATAAAACGAGTAGTATCTTATAAAGAACGAGTCTGTCAATGATTAAATCCTTTCTCTTAACTTTCAATATTTGATGTACATTCTTTTTGTTTTACGAAGTCCTAGAAATACAGTTTAACAATTGGTATGATTAAAGGTTCTACCGCCCGGTGAACATATAAGAATAGAGACGAAAGTGAAGCGATTGCCTCCAAGTGAGTCGTGCACATCTCTTACATGTGTGTCGACGAGTTTTATACAATTCACCAGTTGACACACTACACACTTGAATCATATAATTAAGAGTCGTTTTTAGTATTCATTGTTGCAATAGACATTCAAAAAATAGTAGAACTTTCTATATTATTATCGTCTTTGTTTTTTCATTTTAAACAAAACAGATGAAATGATTGAAAACAATCATATAATTGTGATTCATAGTAAAAGATCCATCTTGCATTAGAAAATGGCTGTAAAATAAGTCAATCTATAAGGATTTTATTATTAAATATATTTAAAATGAAAATTATAAATTCATACTAATAATCAAAACAGTTCTTTTATTTGAGATTAAGAATATAGTTCAAGTCAATGCAATAAAATAATTAAAACTGTTGTAATAATTGAATGATGAGTATTCATCAATATTTATGAAGACTGATGACGTTTTCTTGGAAGTTTTACCACAGCTATTTTAGTTAATGCTTTGATATTGTTACTTGCTGTAGACATATCAGGCTTAGGATGATTTTCTGTTGGTTGTAATTTGGTGGCTGATTTTTTTAACTTCTGAACATTAACATTACCAATGCTCAAGGATCGTGGTCGTTGAATGACAGATGAATTAAGATGATTCTTTTCTAGTTGTGTATTAGAAATACGTGTGACTTCAACATTAGTACTTTTCGTGCTAGAAGGAAGCTTAAAATTTTCTTGATTTTTCTTACGATCCTGCAATTTAACATTAATTATTGGAGTTGATTGACTTCCGGCAGTATTATTACGAGGTATTTTCGTAACCGTAATTTTATTACTTTTAGTTGATGATTTTGATGAAACTGGTATCTCTTGTTGAGGAATAGCTTCTGAATTGATATCTTCATTTTTGCTTGATACTTTTCTTACGTTTTGAACTTTCACTGTAGCAGTTTGAGGAGCTGGTGTAATATCATCGACAACCTCTGTTGTTTGTTCGCTTGGTGGATTTTTAACCTCAAGTGCGCTTCCAGTTTTAGTTATTCGTATAACCTTAACATGCTTTGCACTCTTCGAAGTAGGAGTTGCTGCTATCGGTATGTTTTCATTTACTTTTTTTATTGACATGGGTGTTTTCGTAGCGTCACTATTGTTGAGTACATCGTAAGCACGATAGTCTTTATTCAGATTACTTATTTCCAAGCTTCGATTAAAGTGTGGTGATGTTGGTGTGATGTCGCGTTTGTTAGATAGTAGATATTTGCGTTGTTCTGTAATATTACCAATTTTGTCTCGTCGGCGACGTCGTTGAGCAGGAGACCTATGAAAAATACGATGTATATTCAATGTGAAATAATATTCTAACGGATATTTTCGTTTTTGTGGCACAACTTACCAAAGAAAACGATATAAACAACAAAAACAGCAACATAGGGCCAAGAGTAGACTCAACAATGACAAACCCACAATCAATAGCCAATTTATAGGATTTCCTATTTAAAATATATCAGAAAAGATAAAAATAACAAATTATGTTTGTTAAAAAAAATAATAAAGGACAAGAATTGAGTCTGCTGTATTAAAGACTGAGTTCATAATTAAGCATTCTTTTCAATTTTAAAAAATTTTTGAATTCACTAGATTTTGTTTTGTTTTGTTCTGTAGCTTTTATATTGTGTATTTTCATTATTTGGGTTTCATGTTTACACATCTAACTGATTCATTAGATCAGAAGAACTTTAACAGGCAAAAAAGGATGAGCGTTTGATACTTCAAAAATTCTAACAGTTTCCGATGATTGGCAGATAATCAGTATATGTTTTAGATTTCATGTAAATCCCTAACACATATTCATAAATCCTACCTGGACTTTTGGTCGTTGTCATTGTAGTCCTATAATATAAAATAAGACAATTTCAATTCATGTTTCTAGAACGATAGAACAAAAGAACATACGCTCTTCGACTGACACAGTTTCAAATCAAAACCTTTGAAACAATCTTTTTGAGATTTTTTTTTACAAAACTATGAAATGTTTATATCTACGTATATGCATGAGATATTCGAAATTTGAAAAAAAGTGATTGAGAATGTATAGTATGAAATCGATTCTCTCGCAAGATTAAAACGTATTCTGTCATAACTTACGTCGTTGTAGTTGTAGCTGTTGTTGATGTTGTACTGGTTGAAGTTGTACTTGTTGTTGTAGTCGAAGTAGTTGATGTTGAGGTTGATGTAGTAGAAGTTGTAGTCGATGTTGTTGTTGTTGTCGTAGTCGATGTAGTGCTAGTTGTAGACGTTGATGTAGAAGTTGTCGTGGTTGTAGTTGTTGTTGTAGTTGTTGTTGTAGACGTAGTTGAAGTTGTGGATGTAGTTGTGGTTGATGTTGTTGATGTAGTCGTTGTTGTAGTTGAAGTTGTTGAAGTCGTGGTTGTATCTGTAGTTGTTGTTGTTGATGTCGTAGTTGTTGTTGTTGTTGATGTAGTTGTGGTTGATGTTGTTGATGTACTTGATGTTGTTGTCGTAGTTGTTGTTGTTGTTGTTGTCGTAGTTGTTTTTGTTGTTGTTGTCGTAGTTGTTGTTGTCGTTGTACTTGTTGTTGTTGTTGTTGTTGGTATGCAAAGTACCCATGATGTTACTACATCGAATGTGATGCAATATTCTGCTGATTGTACTTGTTCTCTAGTTAATTGAATAAACAAATAATACATGAAATAAAGATTAGGAAAATAAAAATTTTTACTCTGTAAAAGCAACTATGCACAATTCTTCTAATCCAATTTGACTAGTTTGTGGTGTCCAAGTAAAAGTTTTATAGGATAACGATGAATTTGTAGATGATTTCGTTAGACTTCCAACTGTCATACCAGATATTCCAGATGAAACAACAATGTCTGCAATATCAACATCGTCTGGATCACACATTGTCATTACATAAATATTAAAAGTCTTTTGAACACCAGTAAGAACTTCCATACAATCTGTAACAGGAATAATCTGTGGTGGTTCTGGACAGTATGGTTCTGGCATGACATAAATTAAAAATTGAACTGGTACTGAACTCATTGGAGTAGTACTTGATGAAGTGATAAAATCTTCTACCTACATAATAGAAAAGAATTTTATTGATCTTGAAATATCAAATTCTTAGAATAAAAAAAAAAAAAGAATTTAATCGAATGACTCTTCAGTCAACTCGATTACTGTTCTAAACACTCATATGTTTCTAGTTTTATTAATAGATCATGTATATTTTTCGTTAGTCAGAGTTTTACTATGTTCAATGCTGAAAAAAATTTGTGTCAAAGAACTCCAGTATCTTTTAAAAGGATTGTTGAGTTTTAATTTGTTTGGGTGAAATTTCATGTCATATAAGATTATGCAGTTGAAATTCGGATATAGATCTGTTCAAAAAAATATGGGTATGTTGGAGATTTAATAGAGAGGATATAATGAAATTTTCGGCTCAATATCATGATGTTTACATGAGATATTCTTCACAGAAGAATCATAAAAATAGGTAATATAATAACAAGAAATTCTCTATGCGCCTTCATGCTATATATGTATTATTTTTCTGGCCCTTGACAAAGCATATCAGACGATGACAGGATCTGAAAGAATCCTTTTGTTGTTAAAATTCTAACTTTTTTTCTTGTAGAGTACACATGATAAGTTCATTACCACAAAAAACTTTGAAAGAAATTTGTCCTTTTTGAATCAGTTTTTGAGATCTTTTTTCACGGTATCGGACTTGCCATCTTTAGCTTACAACAAAAAAAAAGGAAGAGTTTTAATAACAAAAAGATTCTTTGAGGGTCTGTAGCCCAGCATGCATTTTCAAACATACAAAAAAAAACAAAGAATATATAGAATGAAGGCGCATAGAGAATTTTACGTTGTCATATTATTTTTTGTAAGACTTGTGTGATGAATATCTCATGAAAGTATCATAGTATTGAGCTGAAAGTTTCATCATATCCTTTCTTCTACATCTTCAACATATGCTGGAATCATCATATGATTTGAATGGTTTTTAGCCAAAAATCAATTTTGAGGCACAGAACTTTATTTATACATGTTCTTTGAAGTTGAAACAATTTTTTCTGATTCGATAGATATTCTGTAGTAGTTATCAGTTGAGAAAAGTGAAATTGAATTTAACTTTCTTTTAAAAAATTGTCTTACTTGAATAGCAATTGCATACCAAGTATTAGCCACTAATCCTTTGAACGATAGAACACAATTGGATAAGGTGGTACCGCTTGGTAAACCTCCTGGATAACAAATACTACCACATTCATCAATGGCTTGCCGTGCTGAATACGATATCGTTGATGCTAATGTTCCAGGAGTTTCGGTAGTAGTTGTTCCAATTGTAGTTGCTAAAGGTGGACAAGTCGACGTTGTAGAACATTTTGAACCACTACAAGTAGTCCCGGTACAACCGGAACAGCTGCAAGAACAGCCTTTTTTGCACGAACTGTGGCAGCCAGTACAGCCCGCTCTTTTGTTTCTAATATGAACAGTTTCTCTGTCTAGAAACAATTTGTTATAAATGTGTCTAAAAGATTCATATTTGTCTTCAATTGATCGTTTTCGTCGATTAACTCCTGGTGTGTATGTTGACCATCGACAACGAACATCATCACCTGCATTGTCATCTGATACAGAAATTTTAATCTGAGTTGATGTATTCACAATGGCATATTGTGGAGAAACAACGCTTGCTACTGGTGGAGTGTTTATGAAACCATCCGCTCGAAGTCGAAGATCAATGAAAGCTGTTATTGACCATTGAAAACCACTTTGAGGTGGATAATTCAGTGCTATCCAAGCACTTCCCATATATGATAAGTAAAAATGTGCACCAGCCGACAATGTAATACTGACTGATCGTTCACTTGTCATCATACCTAATGCTGAACTACTTGAAGTACAGTCAGTTAAAATATTAATTGGTTTAGTTGAATAGCCACCATCAGTTGAACAATCAACAGTACATGTCAAATTAGCATTTGCACTGCTTCGTCCAGCAGTTGAAATCGGTACATTTGTTGCACAGCTTATAGTCGGATACGCCCATGAGTACATTTGTGTGATACTAATTGGAACTGTAGAGGAATTTGCATAAGGACTTAACGGTTTCCATCGAATGGTGCCGCCGTTAAAATGCTTTCCATCGATAAAAGCAAGACAATAAAGTATAATCAGTACTAAAGTGACCATTGTGCTCTAATTTTTCTTAAAAAATCTGTATCTGAAAAAGTCATTCAATGTTTGTTTATCTATTATAGAAGATATAATTATAATTAGCCCTTTTACTGAGCTCGAGTTCGAGATCGGTCGGTGTCAATTTTCTAAATTTTGTCTTCTCATAAGTATTTTATATCTTTTATTGTTGTACAAGGTTGAAAATAATTTTTTTCCACGGAGATACCGCTATAATTTCAAATAGAAGACATAATGAATTTTATATCAAATGAAAGATCGTCGAAAATAGGGTATATTAGTAAAGCCATCGACACATTAGAAGACCCCCCTATATTAGAAGACCCCCCCATAATAGAAGACCCCCCTTGAATAAATGACGCAAAAGACATATTAGAAGACCCCCCCCCCCCTTAAAAAATCGACATTTTGAAATAGTTTCTGGAGTTTATTGACTTGTTTAGTATTTAAGCCCAGAATGATATCGAAATTCGGTACGAACAATATTTTGCTTCCTCCCTCATAACGAAGTATCAGACTCGAATGAGTAAAATCTAGAGAAGCAGTTAATAGGAAACAACTATCTATTGAAGATTGCGTTTCTTTGTAAAAACATACCATGGAGTCATTTTAGCACTTCTTTGCAGCGTACTTTGAAAACATTCTTCAGGCTCTGTACACGAAAAACACGCTTTCGTAGTCATAGGATCTAATGAACGTAGTGCCCGTTCGTGCATGTAACACATGAAGGGATCTTTGTAGACTAATAACAGATTAGGTAAAATGCCACTTTGTATTAATTAAAAGGTCTCTTTATCTTTGACTTTCTTCTAGAAAATCAGAAACGTTTTCACAACAAAACAGTGTTTCATAATTGAAGAAAACATAACTTCATGTACAGTCTACGCAAAAAATTCTGGAACACTCAAGAATGACTCTGCAAAATTTTATCTTTCATTTGAAACAAACTTTATATATATTTTAAGTATAGTTACTGGTTAAAGTTTCATATAATATTAAAACTAGAAGTTTTGCATCTGTAGAGTAAAGTACGAAAGTTTAACCAGTAACTATACTTAAAAAATATATATAAAGTTTATTTCAAATGAAAGTTGAAATTTCGGGGAGCCATTCTTGAGTGTCCCAGAGTTTTTTGCGTAGACTGTATATACGTCAAGATTTGATGTGTGAGTACTTTTTTTGAGTTTGAGAACGCATTTCTTTTTTCAATAAGATCCAATGGCATTTTTTGAAACAGACGCAAAAGAAAACACACTGTCTATATTCAACTGCTGATTTTTTATAGATGGTTTCTTCACAAGACAATCGTATTCATTGAAGTTAGCTTGAGATTAATAACTCTGCTAGTAGCAGAATTCACTGTGAATAGATTTCATATATACTAATCAAATTTCCACATAAGCAACTGAATAAAATGAGTTTGATAAAAAAAATTAATTTTCTTTTTTACATTTATTTAGTTATTGAGAAGGCAAACTGTTGCCAATGATAGGTATTAGCCTAGAGAAAAAAGAATGGTATGGGATATCGTACCAAGATGCTAGGCTACGTTGACTGTATTGTTCTAAGAACACTTCTTACCAACGATGGTCTCCTCTTTTTCACAGGATGATATCTGTTTCTTTCTTATTCTACATATGTGAAATAAGTGAAGCAAACTCATTTACTAACGATATATTGGACAAAAATCAAGTGAAACTAAGATTTGTTGACGGAACTACCAAAAAATATGACTTTTTTTAGGGACATAATAGAAGACCCCCCTTTTAACTTATGAATGATAAGACAGAATAGAAGACCCCGGGTCTTCTAATGTGTCGATGGCTTTACTGAATAGTGAAGGTTATGGAAAACTTTTTAATGTCGAATTTAAGAAGTTCTCAGAAATTTTATACTTTTTTTTGGAATGGAAAATTAAGACGCCAGTATTAAAAAATGAAGTCAAAATTTTTTTTCTTGAATATTTTACTCCATTTTTGGCTTACTGGCACCTTAATTTTCCACCCCAAAAATGTATAAAATTTCTGAGAATTTCTTAAATTCGACATTAAAAATTTTTCATAATTTTCACTATTTAGTACCAATAAATCCCATTTTTCACGAACTTTCATTTAATATAAAATTTATTATGTCTTCTGTTTGAAATTATAGCGATACCTTCATGGAAAAATATTATTTTCAATCTTGTATTTTGTGTATATTCGTTAATATCGAAATAGTCGAAGTAGAAAAGGAAGTGCAACTACTGGTTGCCTCCATTATTTTTCTATCATACTTGCTATTTTTGTAATGCTTAGACCTATGATAGTTCTATATTAGTTCCGATCTTAAAAATTATTCCAACAGTTCTTTTGATAGTAACTAATCTGTCTCAAAAGTTCTGTTAAGAAGTTCATAGAGATAGGATCGGTGCGGTTCTAAAAAAACACAAACCGATCTCATCTCTGACAGCTCGTCTGAACTTATGAGTTTCAATTGTTGAGATTTGAAAAGGGCCCAGTTCTTGAAAAAAAAATACTGGTCATTGCACTTAGCTGTCGACAAAGAATCTATTCATAGAACTGAAAGCTATAGCAGACCTAGTGATATTTATACAAACAAATGTGATTATTTGTCCTAAAAGAATACATGAAAGAACAACGCGAGCGAAAAAAAAAGCAATGCATCTCAATGAAGTATCGGATGATGAAAATCTTTCAGGCATTATTGATCAATAATCTAGCGAGTTCTATATATCTTCACATTCGACAGAACGATCCGAACCGGAGTCTAACTGACGAGAAAACGTTTTCTACTGTCAAATCGCTTTTGAGTTCGAAATCGGTTCGTTAGGTAGACCCCAATGAGATATGAAAAACCCCCAAAAGATTGAGTCCCCTCATGCCTTCTCTCCAGAGTTATAGGCATTTTATTGGAATTTTAATCTATAACATGGTATATACCAAAAAATTGAATGACGATATTTCGAGCTAAGATTTTACCCGTAGACAGACCTATTTATTAGTAGAAAGCCCTGAAAATTTCAGGCCAAAAGTATGTTTTCTTCCAGAGATATTAAAGCCTCAAATAATATTCATATCCCACAAAGGATGCTAAAATTTTCTGCTTTTTGGGGCTTTAATATCTCTGGAAGAAAACATGCTTTTGATCTGAAACTTTTAGGACTTTCTACTAATAAATAGGTCTGTCTGTGGGCAAAATCTTAGCTCGAAATATCATCATTCAATTTTTTGGTATATGCCATGCAGAGGTGTCGCATGGGTGGGTTAACCCGTCCAACCCGTTGGGTTCGAGCTTCCAATGGTTAGCTTCTAACCCAAATCCGGTGGGTTGGGTCGACATTTGAAAAATCTCAAAATCCACCCACCCACCCAATTTCAGATTCAAACCCTGTCCGGTTACCCAGGGTTGACCATTGAATGAACCCATGAAATTAACTCTGTTTCTATAGAATAATTATAGAAAATTTTATTTAATGAAGCTGTCGTTACGATATGGGGTATGTGATTCATCAGTGCCTTAATTTTCTTTGGTCGGTTGATCGAATGTAAATTCGATATAAGTTATATGAAATTTACATTCTGAAGTGTAAAATCAACTCCGACGACAGAGAGAATAAAGAGTAAAAAGACAATAACTTATTTTCTCTTATTTTCTCTTTATTTCCTCCGTCGTCGGAGTGTGGGTGTGGGTGCTGATGTTCTATTTTCTAGCGACACCCACACCCACCACGGTGAAGATTATCTTTTTATCCATATGAAAATAAAAATAATATCTATTATTGTATATCTTATAAAATGATTTTTCATTTTATTACCAATTTATACAGCGGGATTTGAACTTGCATTTCTCTTAATAATACTTAATGAAAAATTCAAATATTATAAAACCCAGGGTTAACCCAATGGATTACCCAATGGGTAGGGTTAAGCTGCTCAACCCAATCCTGTAACCCATGGGTTAATAAAAAAAAAAATAGTTGAACTGATTTCCACCCAATCAACTACCGACTATGGGTTGGGTTACCCATGGGTTAAAAAAAAAACAAAAAACGGCAACTCTGATGCCATGTTATAGGTTAAGATTCGAGTAAACTGCCTATAACTCTGGAGAGAAGGCCTAAGGGAACTCAATCTTTTGTGACTTTTTCATATCTCACTGGGGTCTACCTAACGCACTGAGTTCGAACACAAAGGTGATTTGACAGTTGAAAACGTTCCCTCGTAAGCCCTAGCTACTTGGACTCGGTACATGCTTAAAATTATAATTATTTTCCAGAATTTGGACTTAACGATATTGGAAAAAAAAATAGAATATCAAAACGTTTGGAATATTTAGAAATGTTATCATGAAATGAACTCGCCAATGTTAAGAGAATAGTAGTTTTGAAGAAATGATTGGATTGATTCACAAGCCAACATGATGTCCTGTTTCATCTTTGTAGATACTTTCGCTCGACTTATATTTATTTTATTGAAACTATAATCTATTTAAACAAAAAAAAAATTTTACTTGAATTTTTATTTAGAGAAATCTCTCATCATTTTTGAGTTTTTCAAGAAAGTTGAATATGTCAGATACTTTCATAAAATATGATCTTTTGAAAATTTAACGTCTCATATATAATATGATCGTCATACGAACAGAAAAGAAAAACCTAGATTGAAACGTCTTCTTTCCATACCCTACAACAGATAAACTTCAATAAAATAAGAGAAAGATTCAATTGAAAAGACTTTTTAATGTCAGATATTTTCAGATTTTTCTCATTTTAGTAACGTCTATTTATTGTAAAAAATTTTTCTTCCAAAAGTAATCTATCATCTTTGAAATTTTATTAGTTACTACTCGATCTTAAAAGTGTAACATATGAGTGTGTGTATCGAGGGAGAATTGAATATCTATGTATAAAAAGAAATATGCATAGTTATACTATATAGAAAGATTTAGGTCTTACTGATTTTGTTAGTAGCATTTGGATATATATTCAACATACT